AGTCCGGCCCATTGTGACCCGGCCAGGCAGGGACACAGCTGTCCACTCACTGTACTTGGGGAGCATGTGGACAGGCAGGACACGAGAGCAAGGACCAGGCAGGGCCAGCCCCCTCCCTTCCCCTCCCCTCCCCTCCCTTCCCATCCTCAGTCCCTTCAACTCTCTGAATTCTGGGGACCTGCCAGGTATGGCCAGGACTCTAAACCTTGGAGTTGGTCAAGTGGGATCCAGCTGTCTTGGGGACCAGCAGTTGGCATAATGGCTATGTCGCTGGGCTCTCATGTAGTAGACCGCGGTTCGTGTCCCGGACCCGGTGGCTTAAAATTATCGCTGGGCACGTGTGCGTGCGTGCGTGCGTGCGTGCCCAAGATCCGGAGAGGAGAAAGGAGGAGAAAGGATTGCAGCTTGGCCATCCCCTCCCGGGGGGTGATTTCTCGCTGTTTCTCTGTCTCTCTCTCTCTCTGGTGAGCGCACGCGCCCTATAGCAAAAATCTCTCCAAAAAAAAAAAAAGTGGGTTCCAGCTCTCTTAACCTCCAGAGCACTTGCTAGCAGTTTCCCCCTCCCCACCCACATATCCTTTTTTTCCATTAATTTGCTGCAAGGGGCATGCTCTTGACAGAGGGAGAAAGCATACCCCAAGGGGCATGGTTGCACCAGTCCCTTCTGTATTTCTCTATCCTATTAAGATTTGGAGCACACATGTACTCATGTGTCTGGTGTGTTTATCAAGCCATAGAGCGTGAGATTTAAACTGGAGTTAGGGGCCAGTAGGTGGTGGCGTGGTTGAGGCACTGGACTCACACATGGTCGACCTCAGTTTGAGTCCTGAGCCTGGCAGTTTGAAACTCATGCCGGGTGTTGTGTGTGCCCAAAATCCCAAGAGGAGAATGGAGAAGGGATTACAGTGTGGCTATCTCCCCAGGAGGTGGTTTCTCACGTTCTGTCTGTCTCTTTGGTGAGTGCTCACACCCTATAGCAAAAAAAAAAAAAAAAAAAAAAAAAAAAAAGAAATGGTATCTGGTTTCCTTAACCATTAGGCAGCAGGCTGGCTTCCATTAAACTTTTTTCTAAAATTGTTTACTAATTTACACTGCATCTACTAGTATAGAAATAACTTTTTATTGATATTCTATAACCATGTCAACAGTTCAATTATTATCCACTGACTTTAATTTTCCCAGTTACTAATGAGGTAGAGAGCACCTTTTCTTCTTCTTTTATTTTTAAGAGAGATTTTTTGCTACAGGGCACATACACTTGCTGGAGAGACAGATAGAAAGTGAGAAATCATCCCCCAGGGGAGATGGCCACACCGCAATCCCGTCTCCATTCTCCTCTTGGGATCTTGGGAATGCACGCACACATGCCTAGTGTGATTTGAGGCCAAGCTGGTCCAGGACTTGAACCATGGTCAACTATGGGAATCCAGTGCTGTGATCATTACAGCATCTACTGATGTCCCTTCTCGTATGTTTATTAGCCAATGGCATATCCGTTTTGTGAAGTGTTTATTCTGGTCTCTTTCCCATGTGTTTTTGTTTTTTTTTTAATTATCTGTGTTATTGATTTCTGGGAGTTATTACTTTGGATACAAACCCACCATCATTATATATGTGAAAATATCTTCTCCCACTCTGGCTTGCCTTTTTCATTTTTTTAAAGGTTTTTTTTTTTTGTTATAGGGCGCGTGTGCTTGCCAGACAGACAAAGAGAGACAGAAAGACAGAAAGCGAGAAATCACCCCCCAGGGGAGATGGCCACGCCACAATCCCTTCTCCTCCATTCTCCTCTCGGGATCTTGGGCACGCACGCTCACACGCCCGGCGTGAGTTTTAAGCTACCGGGTCTGGGACACGAACTGCGGTCGACTACGTGGGAGCCCCGCGACATAGCCATTACGCCAACTGCTAGTCCCTAAAGGGGTCTTTTGAAGAACATTTTTAAAAAGAAATATAGTCACAGTACAGCCATGTGGAAGAATGGTAGCACAGTGATCTGTGGAACACAGGAAGCCACATGCCAAACCATAGTTTGAATCCCCAGGTTGGCCTGCAAACACACGGGGATGGTGCACAGGTGCCCTAGATCCTGAGGAGCTGGAGGGCTGGGGAAAGTATCATGCATGACAAGGCCCTGTGGAGAGTGCTCTCTCCATCTTTCCCCTGTGTGCACCTGTGCATTGTCTCATAAAATAAGTTACATTTATTGATTTTTTCAAATACCATTCACGCTCTTTTTCTTTTAGATTTTTGCTATAGGGTGTGTGCACTCACAGAGACAGAAAGCTAGAAATCAGCCCCCATGGGGGACGGCCATGCTGCAATCCCTTCTCCTCCATTCTCCTGTGTGGCATGCACACACACACACACAGCCAGCCTGAGTTTTGTTCAAGTGTTGCTTTCGTGAAAGAGCAAGAGAGACAGACGGGGTCTCCTCAGGCCATGATCTCCTTCCTTAGCCCTCCAATCAGTCCGTCAGTCAGTCAGTTAGTAGCCCTGAGTCTGGGGGCAGGCTGAGATGGGGGTGGATCGTGAAGGGAAGGTTTTTTAGGGGCTGGTTCTGTGGTACAGAGCAGCTGAAGAGCGGCTGGACCCTGCATGGTGACTGCAGTTCCAATTCTTGACCAGGGTGGCTGGCCTAAAACACACACGCGTGGGCCAGCAGATGGAGTAATGGTTATGTTGCTGGACTCCCACATGGGCAGGGGCGGTTTGAGTCCTGGACTAGCAGCTTCAGACTCACGCCAGGTGTGTGTGCGTGCCCCAAATCCCGAGAGAATGGAGGAGAGGCGACTGCAGTGTGGTGTCCCGACCCGTGGGGGACAGCCGAACAGGTTTCCTGAGTGAAGGAGTGAGAGCCAGGGCAAGCAGCGTAGTGTTACAGCACGGAGACGACAGTGTCGTC